ACACAAAGTCCACCCATTTTCTCTGCAGTGATCAGCCTCCCTCGTAAATTGAGAGGGGATCCCTATTAACTGCGTACACTTCTGACTAATGGTTGGAGAACTTTTAGAACTATTAATAACATACAGCTAATTCTTTAGCTGGGCAAATAAACCAACTGTAAAAGGCCGTTATCAGAGGCCAGAGATGTTGAAGATGAATGCAAAGACAGGAAAATACTGTGGCAGGCAGAGCAAACTTACTTCATGCGCAAAAGAAGAAGAAAATACTGAAATATAATGTTAATACTAAATACTGAATTGGGGGTAGGGGTTTATATGAATGAATCTCTGAGTGGAACTGTCGTCCGAAAAGTTTAGATGTTATTTTCCTTTCATGTTACCTCCATCCCTGTTGAAAAAAACAGCATATGCTGGTTAGGTATGTTTTGAAGCATGGCTGCTGGTTTGAGCTGGTTTAAGCTGGTCCTTAGCTGGTCATGTGCTGGTCCTGAGCAGGAGCTAGTTGCTTAAAGCAGCTCATGACCAGCTAAGGATCAGCTTAAACCAGCAGCCATGCTTCAAAACATACCTAACAAGCATATGCTGTTTTTTTCAACAGCGATATGTGACCCTGGACCACAAAACCTTTCATAAGTAGCACGGGTATATTTGTAGCAATAGCCAATAGTACATTGTATGGGTCAAAATTATAGATTTTTCTTTTATTTTCTTTTATCTTTTAAGTAAAGATCATGTTCCATGAAGATATTTTGTAAATTTCCTACCATAAATATATCAAAACTTAATTTTTGATTAGTAGTATGCACAGCTAAGAACTTCATTTGGACAACTTTAATGGCAATTTTCTCAATATTTTGATTTTTTTGCACCCTCAGATTCCAGATTTTCAAATATTTGTATATCGGCCAATTATTGACCTATCCTAACAAACCACACACCAGGGTTATATATAATGTAGCAGTGCTGCTTTGTTTACAGCAGTAACCAAGGAAACACTGAATCATTGCTGTTCCATAAGCGCCACCTGCTGTCAGAGAGTGAATTTGCATTCTCATTCAGCTAGTCTGCGGTTTTTGTTTCGTGATATTTTTTGTAGCATACCATTCAGTTTTTACTTCAACAACTGAACAAATTAATGATTGAAATAAACAGTGTTTTAAGATTTTCAGGTATTCAGATACATAAGGAGCAGCAACCTGTTAAACAACATCCACTCGTGAGGCCGATTGTATGTTGTGTACGATTGTATTATAGTAAACAACAACGCAAGCGTGCATATGAGGACTGTGTGAGTAAATAAGAACAACATTAGTCACCCAGAGAGGTGGGCAGTCATGAGCCAGAGCCCAGCCAACTGGCAGTCAACAAAAACTGCACCGGTGTTCTCAGTGTCACTCAGCACAGGGTGAAAGTCATGGCATTAGGCCAGGAGAAGTTAAAGGGTTAGTTCACCCAAAAATTAAAAGTACCCCATGATTTACTTACCCTCAAGCCATCCTAGATGTATATGACTTTCTTCTTTCAGACGAATACAATCAGAGTTATATTAAAAAACATCCTGGCTCTTCCAAGCATTATAATGGGAGTGGATGGTAGCCCAAAATTTGAAGTCCAAAAAATTGAACCAATCCATTATAAAAGAAGTCCACACGGCTCCGGGGGGTTAATAAAGGCCTCCCGAAGTGAACCGATGCGTTTGTGTAAGAAAAATATACATATTTACAACTTTATAAACCTTAATCTCTAACTTCCGCTAACTGTCGTTCGCGTGTTCACGAGAGAGTGGCGTCCAGCAGATGACGTAGGCGTAGCGTAAACTCCGGTGAGAATATGCTAGTTTCGAAACAAGTTTTGTTTACAGCAAAGGAAAACCAGTGTCCTCTTGGCTTATATTGAAATCCTACGACATTCTTCTTTACAAATCCTCGTTTTGTACTTCTAATAAGTGACTGGTGTTTTGTTTTAACTCTTGGCTTATATTGAAATCCTCCGACATTTTTCTTTACAAAACCTCGTTTTGTACTACTAATTCGTGACCGGTGTTTTGTTTTGCTCTCTCCTCTGCGCTTCCACGTTTGTCACTTCCAGCATCCGTTGGACGCCACTCTCTCGTGAATGGGTGTATGACAGTTAGCGGAAGTTAGAGATTAAGGTTTATAAAGTTGTAAAAATTTATATTTTTCTTACACAAACGCATCACGTCGCTTCAGAAGGCCTTTATTAACCCCCTGGAGCCCTGTGGACTTCTTTTATAATGGATTGGTAAAATTTTTTGGACTTCAAATTTTGGGCTACCATGCACTCCCATTATAAAGCTTGGAAGAGCCAGGATGTTTTTTTAAAGGGGTCATATGATGCGATTTCAATTTTTTCCTTTCTCTTTGGAGTGTTACAAGCTCTTGGTGCATAAAGAAGATCTGTAAAGTTGCAAAGACTAAAGTCTCAAATCCAAAGAGATATTCTTTATAAAAGTTCAGAGTCAGCCACGCCAATCACAACGCATTGGATAGCTGGCCAATCACAGTACACCTCGCTTTTTCAGACCGATGAGCTTTGTAAAAATCGACGTGTTTCAGAAAGGCGGGGCATAGAGGAGAAACAATAATGTACAGTATGTGGAAAATAATGTGTTTTTTTTAACTTTAAACCACATAAACACATTTCATTACACCAAATACACAAAATAATGTTCTTTTTAGCAGCATCATATGACCCCTTTAATATAACTCCGATTGTATTCGTCTGAAATAAGAATGTCAATACACCTAGGATGGCTTGAAGGTGAGTAAATCATGGGGTAATTTTCATTTTTGGGTGAACCATCCCTTTAAGAGCAGCAACAACATATTGGTGCATAAACAACATACATTTAGCTCAACGATCGGAACACAGTACCCACACTTTAAGGACGTACTGTATATGAAGTTTAGTATGAGCAAATAAGAACAATGCCATCCACTCAGTGAGGCAAACAGCCGCCAACTGGAGCCCATAATCTTTATGAAAAACATAGATTGTGCAATGGATATATTTGTTCAAATTAGTAAGTACAGAAAGTCAGTGAATAGCCCTACAACAACACACTGGTGTAAGCATATCGTAGCATACCAGACCATATGACATAGATCGCAACAACTCACTGAGGAGGGGCATGGCAACAAGGCCTCTCAGCAATCTAATGTCAGCTCATCTGTTTTGTTGCACAAACAGAGCATGCAGTGCAAAGAAAGGCATTGCAAAGCTGTTAAATTTAGCAAATGCTTTCTACAGACATCTCCCCGAACTCCAAACAAGCGACATCAGTCGAAAGGGCATGTAGACCTGCTTACATCACGTGAGTGAGTTGGAGACCGACCGCAGACTTCTCTGCACTCTGTACATGCCTGGCCGCTGTTCCAATGTAGGGGCTGTTTATAACACATACATGAGTAAGCAACTGGGAAACCTCCATGATCTGCACATGGCTGACCGCTGTGCTGAGGGGGTTGCTTGCAAGTGCGAGTGAATGACCAACCAAAACCTTCCGAGCTCTGTACACAACTGACCATTGCTCTGAGGCAAGGGGCTGCTGCTATCGGGAGGATAAGTGAGTGACTGAGACTATGCTGTGTTCTGTATATGGTTGGCAGCCACTCTGAGGCAAGGGGCTGCTGATATTAAATGAATTTGTGAGTGACTGGAACTTTTCTGTGCTCTGCACACAGCTGGTCGCTGCTGAGGAAGGGGGCTGCTGATATTGTGCAAATTATTGAGCAACTGGAAATTCGCTGTACTTTGTACATGGCTGGCCACAGCTCGGAAGCAAGGGGCTGCTAATATGAGGTGAATTTGTTAGCTACTAGAGCTTTCCCGAGCTCTGTACATGACTGATGCTTGTCTGAGGCAAGGGGCTGCTGGGTATCATGTGAATGAGCGATCTAGTGACTGGAACTTCTACGCACACTGCACACAGCAGGCCGCTGCTCCGAGGCAGGGGGCTACTTGTATCCTGCGAATGAGGGACTGTGAACCTCTGTAAATCTCCTCTCTTAGGCAACACTGTCAGCGGCGAGGCCATTTTCCCACCAACTTCAGGTTCCGACTTTGGGGGGAGGTAGGAGGAGAATGCGGGACCTGAGTCCTCATGATTTGCTACCCGAGTCTTAGGGCCTTCATTTGCTGGAGGGTAGGCAAACTCGTGTGTGACACTGCATCTGCGTGGGACAGCCCAGGTAGAGAGGCAGTGAATATTCATTCCGAAGGCTAGACATGGGAGGTTTAGGTGAACAAGGGGATGCAGCATTTGACCCATCCCAGGCCCATCACCTAAACCCCCTATCTCAAGCTGCGGGGGCTTTTTTTCCCATTCAGGGAATGGCAATACTGGCACCATCCACTGGAAAGCATGCTTTCTACTGTGAGTGATAGGAGGCTTCATAGCTACATAAAAGGAGAAAGATTATGAGGTAATATGTCACTTGGTGCTGCCTTTATAGTGGCTGAGCCCGCAAGCCGGAAAGGAACGCCAACGCCAGTCACAGGGATTGACTGTCACAGCAAAGTGGAGTTTGAACACCCTGCCCCCTAGCTTAACTGGAAGTTTTTTATTGGTGTTGCACCCAAGTCAGAACTGGGGCTCCACCCCAGTAGTTTGAAAAGTGCCTGTCAAATGCTAGCTTGCCATGTTTCTTTATCAGCACCTTTGTCTTTTTTTTTTTTTTTTTTTTTTTTTTTTTTTTTTTTGTGTTTTGTACGTTTGGTGAAAAATAAATGTAACTGGCAGCTCGCTCTGTTTCTCCATAATTGGCATCTTTTTTTTGTATTTTGTACTTTTGGTGAAAAATAAAAGTAGCGAAGTTGAATACTATTTTTATTGAACTCAAGTAAAAGTACCACAATTTAATTATACTCAAGGAAGTAGAAAAAAGTGCTTATGTACTGTAACAAAAAATATTCGTAATTAGCTACTTTCCACCTCTCCCTTGGTGTTACTCTCAGTTCAACTATATGGTGACCTCTGACCTAGAAATACACAAAGTACACAATGTAGGGGACTTTCTAGTGCAAATCAAAGTTTGTCCCGTCTGCCCCTCACCATAGTGATGCTTTTGCACAAGTCATTCACTGAAGCGACTCTCTCTTTGCTGATTTTGGGCAGGGTGGGTGTTGGCAGTGATGATCCATGCCAGGATGTCGAACTTCTACTCACACTACAAGAATTCCACTCAGGCAAACGCTGCCTGGTGCTCTGAGTGGACAAAGAGCTGTGGTTGTGTGTCTGAGGATGGCTGGGAGGGCTGGGATTGAGTCTGGGGAAGGGGAGGTCTGGGTTCTTCACTGTAGATCTGACTCTGGAGAGTTGGGTGTGTGTCTGGGTGCCATTTGGTTTTGTGATGGAGTGTTTGAGTTCCAGCAGTTGTTCTTTGGCCAGGGTCAGTGCTGCAGTCAGTTCTTCCCTCTCTTCACACTCACGCCTTACTGTCTCCTCAAGAAAGGACTTCTACATGACAAAGAGAGGGAAAAAAAGGTGGAGGGACAGAATGAGACAATATTATTACATCATATCTCTCACAGACCAATACAACCCTAACATACCAAAACTGGACAATATCTCCTCATCAAACTCCCCACAGGGAGATCATGGGTGAGCAAAACCTCCTGTCACATGACCATTTCTCCAAGAGCCTCCATAATGGCCACACCAACTGAACATTTACACTTTGTACATTTAATTATACAACAAATATGTATACAACTAAATAAGATTTACAAAAAGTAGCTACAGGGGCTTTAAACCAGTGCTTAATTTGTAAATTGCGAGGTCCCGGAACAAAGTGGGGTGACGTATTTGTCATGATTAGAGGAGGGAGAGGTAACGGAGCATTCGTGCAATGGAGGACCAGCTTACGTGATTAACAGTGTGCATCTTCTTACGGTCATGAAAAAAAATTTGAAAAGTTTCAAAAATCATGAAATTTTAAAACAGCCATTTTCAGGCCTGGAAAAGTTTTGGAAAAGTCATGGATTTTTTTCCTTAAGTCTCTGTATAATAAATAAATAATTACAAATCCACACATACTATCAGATTAAATCAGTCATTTGAAAACAGTGTGAGTGATTCAGCTGTACCGCGTCTTCTCTCACTCTCAAAGCGGCTTCACAACAGCGCATCTCCTCTGCACTACTGCACGCTGCGATACAAGAATTTTGCTCGGGTTTCGGGACAGTCGACAGAATTGTCACTTGCCTAATCGAGTCATTGTTGCATCGTCACAAACTGTATCATTTGCACATCTTTAAGTTTAAGCCATTAGATACTCGCATGCTCCAAAGGGGGTTTCCTATGCACTCACAGTCACATCCATAGCGCGCATATTGCGCCGCCTAGCGAGTACCAAATTGAGTTATTTTTCGCAGCTTGTTGCGCTTACGCAGCCAAGATACACACAAAAAATGACGTCAAAATGGCCGTCCTGGCGATTATCCTCGTAAGCACAGTCGGTTTTGTCTTAACTAAATGTAAACATCTGAGAAAGAAAATGCATGTGTATCAGTATTGGATCCGTGCATTCGGGTTTGTGAAAGCAGCCACGTCACATCTCTGCACGCTCAAGTTTGTTGTTTCAAATGTAGATGCTAGGCAAGCCTGCTCATAATAGAAGTTTTTTTCATGAAATATATGCACGCTATAGATCAACACAAACGTCTTTCATTGGCGCGTGAGGAGGGGATCTGTCAAATGAGGTGCCGGATCAGATTTCGGACAAATTCGGAGGTGCCGGATCAGGATCCGGCTTGTTCCGGCACAAATTAAGCCCTGCTTTAAACGTATCAAATGCCTTTATCCTAGTTTATAATAAATCTGTAATCCATTCTGTTTTTGACATTCAAGTTCATTTGTACCATATGAAAGTGGGATGGTGGGAAACTCCATTTGGAAAGAATCTAGAGCAGCTGGAATATGACGTGAGCACAAGAGAAATCACACGTGCCTGCGAAAACTCACATGGCCAAGGAATACACCAGGATATTCACACACAAGGTCTGGGAATTTCAAGAATTTCCGTCACAGATGTACATGTGCTTAAGATTGAGACCGTGGCCAGCATTTGACTTCATGATGTCACCAGCTACAATCTTTAGGTAAAACAGTGTCATCTAGTGGTCATAATGACATACTGCAGTATACAAATGGATTCAGCACTACTCGGACTCCAACCTCATCTCATGTTCAGAATTATGAAATTGCATGTATTTATAAAGGCACTCATGAATGCTTCATTCTAATGGGCTGACAGATGTTCTAAGGGGTCAATATATGTAAGGCTATTAAGTAGTTACAGGTTTGTAGTAGGGTTATTATCATCAGCAA